TTTTTGGGGTTAACTTTCCAAACATTCTAAATTTTAAAAACATTTCTTTCTATTGGAAATGTTATAGAATAGAATACATTAAATGTATTAACCAATTTAGAAGGTATATCTTCATAATTATTGAATTTTCCAATCCAAGGAAACTTGTATGTATTCACATTTCTTTAAGTACCTCATATATTTATAATTTTATTCATACTGACCCAACATACTCCTTTTTAACTTAATTCCTGGATTTTTAGTTTCTTTCTGTGGTGGTTATTGCTGTGATGAAAATGAACTTCTTTCCTAACCAGTTTCTGCTGAAACACAGATACTCGTCTCTCACTTCATGTGAGTGATACAACATTACAATCTCCCTAATCCTTTTGGTAGTTTTTCCCATGATTCCTTTACTTTTTCTAAGTTCACAACTAATGACAATTTTCTCTTTTTCAAATATTTAAATCTCTTTTTTTTTTCTTGTCTTTACCGCACTGACTAGCATTTCCAAAAGTACGACATACTGGCGGTAAGAGGACATGTTCTTATTCTGACTTTAATGAGTATGCTTTCAGCCTTTTACTACTAAATATTATGCAGGCCTTGAGTTTAATATGGATATTCTTGATAAGGTTAAGTAAATTTTCTTTTACTTCTGGGTTACAGAGATTTTAAATCATAACTAGACATTAATTTGCCCACATGCCTTTGAACATCTGCCAATATAATCACCCACTAATTTCTTTCCCAGATAATGAGTGCCTGTTGTGCTCCACACCCCCACTCTTAAGAAGCTTATCATCCCAATGAGAGTATTTCTAACCCTGCTTCTTTCTCAGGTCATCTAGCCAAAGTCTCACTAACCCCATCACCACAGCCTTAGAGTAGAAGCCCCAGTTCCAAGTCATCTAAGCTCCTAACATCCAAGATGGAGCAGTCGAAGTCTTTGTCTGTCCTCCAGCTTCTGGAAGGGGCCACAGCGGGGTTGTCCCTGCTGGAGGGCAGGTGGGTCTCCAGCCCATTCTGTCCAGGCCATGTGCAGTGAGGCAGGCTTAGGGTAGAGGAAATATCCATTTGACATGGTGAAGGGGATGGCTTTGTGGGCTGGATACTGGGGTTATTCCTGAGAAACATAAAGAAGGACGCTTATCTTCTTAAGAGTGAAAGGTTTATTGTTTTGAATGTACCATATTTTAAACGTATTACAGTCATGCTCGTGTCTTTTTTTCATCTTGTTGTGTTTCAGCTCTTCGCCACCAGGAGTGTTCCTTGAGAAGGACTATGAAATTTACCGGGATTATAATGTGGATGGACAACTTCTTCACTACAGGTAGAACCCACTGTGTCACACTTGGCCCTGTCTTCTGACTCAAGGGTGGTGTTTCTGGCAGCTCTTAGATGAGCTGGAGAAGAATCTGGCTCAACAAGAAGCAATGAGCTAGGTGTATGCAGCACGTGGGGCCCTGTACTAGCCAGAGGAACATGAGGAAAAGCTGTTGGGGCCACCAGCGCATGGGTAGAGGCCTTTTGGAGTGGCCTCCAGGCTCATGTGGCAGCTTTGGGAAAGCTGGAAGAAGCTTGTCACTGCCCAGTCTGGAGAGCTGTGGAGCCCATTGCTCTTAACAGAGGAGTGAGTCCCTGGGCAATCCTCAGCATGTTCTCTCCTGGAGCTCTAGGATATGTGTCACAGTGCTTCCCCAGGCAAAGTCAGGAAGATTGGTGTTAATCACAAGGAAGGAAGTGGACATTGATTGGTCTCTCTTGGTCATGGGTTGGCCTTGCAGAGTATTGGAAGGTTCCAGAGATGACCCTTAGGACCCAAGGGCACAGAATCTGTCAGACTGAGCAGGGGCCATCCTCAGCCAACTCATAGCTCCAGGTGGGGTTCCGTGCCTCTTGGTGGCACGGAAGACCAACAGGAGTGATACCAGTGTTACGTGAGGAATTTGAACCCCTGAGGGGTCTTTGGTGGTTTGCTCCGACGTTTTAAAGATCAGTGTTGGAAGTGCTAACTGGGTTTGTTCATAGGGGATGGAATCTGAGCCTGTCTGGGCCCATCAGTGTGGGTGTGTGACTGAGGGTATGTTCTGCACCAGTGTGGGTGCATTGAGCACTGCTCTGGTGGGCTGCCTATCAAAGCCCCCCACACTCTGCAGGGTACGTGTGACCACCTGGGCTTTGGTGGCCTGTTGCTGCGCTGGCCCTGCCGCCCTGGGTGCCATCTGAGCTGGGTATGAGAATAGCAAGTTGTAGTTTTAGGAGTGCAGGCATTTTGCACACGTGATACCCACTTCCTAAGGAGGTGGTAGCAGAGTAATTCCTGGCTGCTGCTGCCGCCGCCGCCTCCTCCTCCTCCTCCTCCTCTTCTTCTTCTTCTTTTTAACCTTTATTTATTTTTAAGAGAGAAAGATCAAGAGAGAGAGAGGGAGAGCATGAGTAGGGGAGGGGCAGAAAGAGAGGGAGACAGAATCTGAAGCAGGCTCCAGGCTCCAGGCTGTCAGGCCAGAACCCAACACGGGGCTCGAACTCACAGACCATGAGATTATGACCTGAGCCGAAGTCAGATGCTTAACTGGCTGAGCCACCCAGGCGCCCCGTCCTACAGCACGATCTTGATGGCCCACAACGGACAGGCCACGCCATGCCTCCTCAGGCCACAGCCCTCAGCACCCTCTGTCAGGCAAGGATCTTTCTTTACCTCATGGCCCCTGAGGGGGGCCTGGCACCAGGGTTGTGTCATTACCTGCTGAGTGATGAAAAAAAGTACAAAAATAATGCTTCATGCTTGTTGAGTGTTTCCTGTATGTCAGTACTGAGCTGAGGACTTTATCATATGCACATTATGTTACTTAATTCTCATAAGAACCAAGGAGGACACTAAGTCAGTGATGGTAAGTGATATTCCCAAGCCCCGCAACCAGGGAGCAACAGGCTGGCATCCAGTCTCAGATCTCTGGATTCCAAAGCCAGCAACCAGGAGCAGAGTTCCCAGGAATGGGAGCCTGCATCCCGAGTCCTGCTACTGTGTGACTTCTCCTCAGGATAGCGAAGCCGAGCTGCTGGGCATCATTGTCAACTGGTGGGTTCGGTTCCTGGCTGTGCTGAGTGGGCCATGTAACTGGCGTGTTGCAGTAGGCTGCCTCACCCACCTCCAGTAATTGGAAGTCGTGGCCTTGTGCAGAAAGATCCAGCAGTAATCAGAGGACGGAGGCAGAGATGGCAAACTATACGACTGGTTTAAGACACTTGGGATTTCTACTTTTGCAGCGGTAGATTAACTTCTCTGAGACCAGCCTAAACACAGAGAACAAAATAGACGAAATTGTCCTGAAGATCTACTAAAGTGTGAGGACTTGAGGGCTGAGGAGGGATCAGTAACCCAGCACACATAAGATACTGCCTCTCCCCCAGGACAGTTGAGAAGCTGAGCCGACCTTTGAGTGGTTCCATGACTCCAAAGTCAGAGTCACAAAAAGGAGCTCTAGTTAACATTCCATGTGGACCCCTGAAAGGCTACCCCCAAACCTAAACCAGCCTTCAAACCTAAACCTGATTTCCCGTCAGCTCAGTCTGACATGGGATTCAGGTTATCTGCCCTTTCCCCAGCTGCCTGTCAGAAACAAAAATAAACCCAGAGCCTCAAATTATCTCTGCAGTTTTTCATACGTAGTCCTTAGAATATCAGTCTAAAAATTATCTATGTAGAAAATCCTAAAGAATTGACCAAAAAACTCCTAGAACTGATAAGTGATTATGGCAAGTTTGCATGATACAAAGTAAGTTTACAAAAGTCAGTTTCTTTCCTATATACTAGCAATGAATAAGTGGAATTTAAAACTAATACCATTATGCATTAGCACCCCAAAAATGAAATGCATAGGTGTAAATCTAGCAAGATATATACAAAATCTATATGAGGAAAACTACAAAACTCTAATGAAAGAAATCAAGAACTAAATAAATGGAGAGATATCCTATGTTAATGGACAGGAAGATTCAATATTGTCAAAA